CCAAAAAGCCACCAACAGCCGCATAAACCAACAAAAAGCCGAAAAAGCCCAGAAGAAAAGAAGCCAAAAAGCCAAAAAGCCAAGAAGCCAAGAAGCCGAAAAGCCAAGAAGCCAAGAAGCCAAAAAGCCAAGAAGCCAAAAGCGGGAAAAAAACAACTCCATTTAATATTTTGAGAATCACCCAAACACCCCATACATAGTTTCCCTTTGGTTATATCTGACGCTGTTCCATATTGTGCCTGCCCTAAAATAGCAAAGTAGTTCTGGAGACCCCGAACATATTTGTGCTTCGTCGATCCCTTGCTAAAAGTTCAACTTGGATATGTCGCAAATACCTCCCAACGCTCAATGTCTAACTGTCTAAGGAACCTTGTGGCTGGCAATCGCCGAGAAACCCCAGAATTCCAGTGGCCATGGGGAGAGAAAGGGCACCTTTGGAGCGTATCTGGTTGTTTGGAAGGAAGCCCTCTCCAAACAACCTCCATTTGCAAAAGTCCCCTGGAAAAAAAATAAAACAATCCAGTAGTGATAGATTCCCTCTAAAACCAACCAGGGGGAAAAATACGGTTCTTAAGCACATGGAAGAAAAAGGACATGGGGGCACCGCGCCTCTGCGAGGACGAGCCGCAGGGCGTGGTGCCAGCGGCGGCCCAGGGCGGAGGCGCAGGCGTTGGAGCAAATGGCCTGGGGCTACCGTGGACCAAATCCGTTTCGCACCACTTTGAAACCATGGTTGAAACCATCGTTTGTTGGTGTTTACATGGATGGACGAAATCCATTTGGGTACCCATTCTTGACCTACTGCCATAAAACGCACCACTTTGAAACCATGGTTGAAACCATGGTTTGTTGATATTTGCAGGGGAATCAACCATATTTTGGGCCCTACTGGTTCTGCCACCGGCTGGCAGATCTTTGCTTTCCTGGAGAAATTGATTCTTGGTGGACTCTTAAGGGGAAAACGCCCATACTGTGGATGGACGAAATCCAGATCGCACCACCCAAGAAACCCTATGATTCGATTCCCCTGTAAATTCCAACCTCTTATGGTTTCCAGGTGGTGCAGGATTTCGTCCATCCACCCCCCGCTCACTTCCAATCGAGTGGATTGGCCGATAAAAGTAAGCAACTCGGTTGTTAAAGCAACTCGTTTGTTACCACTAAAATGATCTGGCCAAAAAAGTGTAAAGTCCAGTACCTCGGGAGTGAGTTTTTCACGGAGCAGTTGTTTGGCAGGTGCTGGTAAGTGGACCAAGATCTGGCAATAGATTAGCTCGAGGGACAAATGACCCGACAAAGAACACCGTTCAGACAACAAACGGGTCAAAAGGCAAAAGGGAAAGCCGCCCCTTTAGGATCGGTCACAGCTTCACTTGTCGCAGAACCTGGGATCTCCAATATGAAACAGAGTCAGAAAAAACTGACTTTCTGTGTACCCCAGATGCCAATCAAGGGCCAAGAGGCCGAAGAAACAAGTCTCCGGGTCTGATGTTTTCTTGTTCGTTGTGTATGGTTTCTCTGTCGTGCTTCGTGCAATGGAGTTCATTCGCTTTTTTGCTTAGGGGGGATGGCCTTCAACATGGCGGTCTCAAGGAAAGTGGTTCCAGTGAATGCAAACCGTCTGAGGTTACCGCCGGGTCTCATTTCAGGTCACGCTTGTTTGTCTCCAGGAGACCTAGAAAAAGCAGCGGTTTCTCAGAATGAGCAGTCTTCTCAAAGAAGGATACACCAGAAAAACCGTCAAGCACCCTGGCCGGGCGAAGCGGAACTCCCAGCCGACAGACTTTCGGCTCCCCGGGAACCCGAAGGACCAGACGGTTCCGACCCAAAGTCCTTGGCTGGTCGGTACGGAATCAAAGCCGTTGGGACCCAGGGATCTTCCTAAGGAGCCAAGGGATGAATCACTTTGGGGCCATTTCGCCACGCATCCTGTTACGAAGTTCCTACATCCAAAACCATCTCTACAAGGGGATCCGTTCCCAAATCAGCTGGTTCTTTGGGTGACTTTTTTACTGCCACCCCCCCCCCCTCAGGTTTGAACCAGACCCCCTATTTGGGTGTTCCTCAAAATAGGAAAAAAAACAAAAACAACCACTTATGTTGGGTTCTCTGTCCTTTCCTTTTAACACCACCATCACCATCACCCACCCCGAACCGCCCGCCTCCGCCTGCAGGCGCCGCTGGGCCATGCGCCGCAGGAGTTGCAGCGCCTGGGCCCAGGGCGCGGCGCCGCTGAACGCGGCGCCCCAGGCCACGCGGTCGGGGCGCGGCCTCGACGAATCCGAAGCGCTGGAGGCGCCCGCTGGACGCTGCCAGACCGCTGGGTGGCGATTTTGAATAGCACCCCCATGTCTAACCAACCATTCAGGTGTTTGCCCCCACGTTTAACCAACACCAGAATGGTTGCCCCCCCCCCCCCCATTCCTTTCCAACGATGGGGGTCCAACGCCAAAAAAAACAACCCACACCCCACCGCCCAAAGCCGGACAACTCCGCCGCAGCTTTCGGGAGACCGAGGCGCAGCCAGCGCAGAAGGTCCAGCGCCTGGACCCAGGCAAGGCCCACGCTGCAGGCGCTGACCGCCGCGTTGCCGGCCAAGGAGTTCCTCGCTTTGGAGCGAGCGATGCCCTGCCCGGGGTGGGTTTCGGGGGAGGGGGGGTTGGGGGCGTGTGTGTTTTTTGCTTTTGTCTTTTTGTCGCGAGATTTTTCCGGAAGGCGCACTCTGAGGTGTGGGTGTTTGGAGGTTTGGACGCTTTCCAAGATAAGCTTGTATGGCAGTGAAAACCTTTACATGTTTTGCGTGATATATATATATATATATATGTATATATATATATGTATATATATATGTCACCTCCACCCCAAACCCCATACGTGAAAAATCCCTTGAAAAGGGGGTCACATTCCATGCTGAAAGTCGGCAACGCACACCAAAATGGATTTTGCAGGAATCCACTGGGTGTGAACTCGGGGGGAGGTAGGGAGGCAGGGAGGTAGGGGGAGGTAGGGGGAGGTTGGAGGAGGTAGGGGGAGGTAGGGGGAGGTTGGGGGTTGGGAGGTTGGGGTTAGGAGGTTGGGAGGGGTGGTGGGGGGGTGCGGGCTCAAAGTCTTTGCTTCTGACAGGGTATGCCACAAATCCCTTTAATTTCTTTCAGTCTGGAGGTGTGGCTGGGACCAGGCCTGCTTTGGCAAGCTCGTGGGTTTGCAGGCCACCCTCAGCGACCAAGAGACTGAAGGCTGCAAAATCAACTACGAGTTCAAGGTCTTCTGGGTCCTTGCCGCGCTTTGAAAGATCCCGAACCAAACAAAAACAGACCCAAATAGTTGTCTTCTTCAACATCAAACAACAAATGTTGGCTTGCCTGTTGAAACTCCCTATAAAACCACTCCACACAAGGGGCACCCACACAAAAAAAAAAAAACGACAGGCCCAAATATCTGCTTTGCCGTTTTGCCGCCGCCAAGGCTCCTGGCCGCCGGCCGCGCCCAGTGCAGCGCCGCTTCCCAGGGGCTGCAGGCGCAGAGCGCGCCCCGCGCCACCGGAGATCCGCTCGAGGCCCAGGCATCCACCGGCTTCGGCTTCGGAGCCTGGCGCGTGGGGGGAGTGGGGGGGAGGGAGGGGAGGGGAGCCCTGAAATTGGCAACCGCCTCCGTTCCAACCAAAAAACCTGGAAAATGGTCCACGGCTTGGGATTTCGTGCGCAACGGATTTCTTTCGCGTCCATCCACCGGGGATTTCCACTGAGGCTCCGGCGGTCTCCTTGAGCGCAGTGGCAGCCTGCCACTGCCGCGCCAGGCTGCAGGCGCCCAGCACCGCGTTGGTGGCCACCTCTCGCCGATCAAAAAGCCCCCCCACCCACCCACCCACCCGCGGCGGTTTGGACATGGAGGACTCGTCCTTTTAGGATTGCAGATGGCTGCGGTTCTCCTTGTGGGCACGCCCAAAAAATCCCGAGAGTTATCTGAGGAAACAGGGGATGACCAGCAGGACACAAGCCTGTGCTCAACCAATCACTCACCCAGTCCCAAAAACAAGCAACCAAACGAAAAACCAAAAAGAACACGGCTGGTGAACGATATAGCGGTACTTGAGATCTGAGTCAGGTACTTTGGCCCCAATGACCATCAATCAATCAACCAACTAGTCCAACCATGTCCTGTAGAAAAGCCATGGTTCATTTCCGCTTGCTCATTTGAAACCCAGATCTGCTGTGCCCTGTGTCCTTCTTTCTTTGGAGGATCCAGAACTAACCACTCAAATCATCAATGCTTGGGCCAGGTGTACCTACGTGGGCAAAATCTCCACAAGCCACAAGATGATTTGATACCTCAGTGAGATGCCTGTCTTGTTTTGAGGCCACCCTCTAACGTTCATCAGGACTCTTGAGAAAAGCAGACAGTCGTGTCTTCCGCATCCCAAAGGCAAGCCCATCTGAGATTGGCTGCTTCACCAAAAAAGGACATGGGAAGTTGGTGGTTGGAACTTTCGAGGAGCCGCTTCTCGTCCCAAACTGAGAGTAGCCTACCGCTCATACTGTTCGTGACGCAACAGTTTCCAAGAGATCGGGCCAAAAACCAGCCAACACGATCTTCCCCAATGTGGTATGTGAGTAAAACACTGGCTGTTCTTCACAGCCCTCTGTGAATTGAGAAATGCCGCCTCGCTTCCGCGATCCCGACATTGGGGTTTCAATGCAGAGTCCAGCCGGAGAAGACCAATGCCGTCGTGCGCTTTTGGTTCGCGGCACGCGTGCGTCCGAGTCTGGCAGTGGCTCATCCTTTAAGGATCGGAGCAAGCCGTGTCTCAGCACCAAACCACGTGCCCCTGGGCAGCTTCAACTGGTATCCACCTGGAGAATATGGCTATATACCTCACTTGAGTGGACTGGCCGAACAGAGTCCAAACCTGTTGCTTGCCTCTAAAATGGTCCAAACCAGGAACTGACGGAGTGAGACGCTGCTTTGTTCCATGATGTATTTGTGGCTTGGTAAATTCGAAGGGCCCCCGCGGGGGCACGTGGTTCGGCCCAGTTGCCACAGGGCTTCCAGCCAAAACCAGCCAGCTGTAAAACGTAAACCTCTGGGTTCAAAATTGTTTCATTCCCTTTTAAAGGGATGTCGCAAGGGCCAAATCCTATCGCCCGCAAGATCCGGAGTTTGAGCAGACTTGCGGCTTACCTCGAATCACCAGCAGTATCAACCATTGGTCAAGCCTGGGGCCTTAAACAAAAAAAAAAAACTACACCCTCCTTTGCTCAAAGATTTCAAGGTACTCTTTCGAAGGTAAGCTGTGGCAGCCTCACTCGTCATCGGACCAAAAGGACCCTGGCAGCTGCTGCTCCGGGCGTGTCGTAGGCGGAGGCTTCGAAGGCTTCGAAGCCAGCAAGCTCTCGTCGCTGTCCGGCTCCGCCTTTGCCTTCCAAAGCCATGTGGGCTTCTCTCGGTTGACGTTGGAAGGGGAGCAACAAAATATTTTGTTCAGCAGTTCAGTGGGGATTTCCCACTAAACCACAACAAGCGAAATGTAAAATGCTTCCAAACAACAACCATGTTCTCTTGGCAAGACCGGCTTTCGGGATCTTTTGGGGCGACCGAAGGGGAACCACCCTTTTTTTTGGCGGGTCAAGGGTCGGCAAGGGGTGGTCTTGACCCTGAATTGATTGTCCTTTGCCGAATAGTCACTCATAGTCACTAGTCAGACTAGGCTCCCTGTTGTGGCTTGTCATATAACGAATCTGGGGCTTCCACCGAGAGGACCAAAAGAGTGCTTTGTGTCGGCGCAAGATTGCGTCGAAGTCCCACTTGGTCACGTTGCGCTTACGTCTAGACGTTTCCAGCCCACACAGCTCATCATCCGTGTGCGGAAGCCATAGGGCTTTCTGCCGGAGATGCCTTCCCCCGACATTCTTGAACAAGTCCTCCCTCAGGCGGTTGCTGCCGGGACTCTCTTGTGCGGTAAGAATGCAGCATCCGTTAATATGCTCCACCTGCTTCCGCATTTCATCCTTCCACCACATGGGATCGAACTACGCGAGGTTGTGGGCTTACATGCTTTGCAAGTGTGCAGAATAGAAACTGCCCCACTCCCCCACTGCTCATATCTGTGGCTCGGGTCTGCGGCCGCTTTGGCCTGAATGGATTTTGGCCGGGCGCAAGCGTGCAAAATGTGGACACCTGCTTACGAGCCAAGCCGCACTGATACCCAGTCACCCCTACATAGTCATGACTCAAGCGCCTCCGCGTGAACGCAGCTGGGTGTTCGACCTTCTGGGTTTTGTTCCCGCGCCGTTGCAGCGCAGAGATTGCCCGGATTCTTTTGATACCAATGCGAGTGTCCGGTTTGAGTCTTCTTCCTCACTTCGAGTCTATTTTGCGCGGCGACTTTCTCTGTGGTCAATCTTCACCGAGGATCGGCTTTGGGTTGTTGCAGTTTTGTTGGGATTTTGGGGGGGGCACAAGCGTGCAACATATGGACACCTGCTTTGCTGTCAGGCCTCCCCTGTCCCCATCCATGTTCGATTTTGGTGTGTTTTCTGCGGAAAAGCGAAAGCGCCAACGGTTCGCATGTATCTGCGTTTCCGGTGGCTGGAGGTGAAATGTCGGCGGATTGAGGCAGAGGCTCTGAAGTATACTGAAAAACATGCCAAGAACCGTAGGTTGATTCGTTTTGCAACCGGATTCGGGCCTTCTCCGTCTTCGGCTCCTTGCCTTTGGTTGGGCGTCCCGTCGGGCGCGGGCGGGGTCTGACGGGAGGAAGTGGCTGGCCCTCGTCGGAGGAAGGCTCAGAGAGCCCGACCTTACTTGCTGGGTTGCTCCAAGCACGAAGAAACAGTCGATCACCTATTGCGGGTTCAATTTGGGCTGGTCCTTTGCCGGGTCAAAATAGGTATCCAGATGTTTTTTGCCCTCAATGGGAAAGTCGGTTGTCAACTGGTATCCTTTTCGCCGAAAGGGTTGGAAGCAAAGGCTCACGGTCAGTCAAATTCAAAATCAACTTGATTGTAAGAGCCATCGATTTCGCCGAACACGTTGGCAGCAAAAAGTTGAACTCTTTGGGATCACGAAACAAAATAACTCAGTTGCCCAACGGACACAGAAATAACAGGTTAACCTTTTGGGCCCACATTCCAAAAAGTGGACCGAAAAGACGCTCAGGGAACAAGGAAAAACGGAAAGGTAAGGACATGTAAGAAAAAGGCTATATACTATGACCACTTAAAATTGCGGGTTTGTTCCAATCATTTACCAAACCTTGACCAAAGGGAGCTGACCCCTGGCAACTAAAGTTGTCACTTTGTGCTAAGGAAAATGATGGCAAGCCAAAAAGGGCAAAACGTTAGACTCAGCGGATTGGCAATACAGGTCCTACTTGTTGTTTACCAGAAAGTGCAAAGTCCAGGCACTCAGGCACTGAGAAAATGATGGACAGCTTAAAAGGCAAAGTTGAAACGGCAAGCCTTTGGTCTGGCAACTCATGGGTTTTCCCTCAATGGACCTTCGGTTTTTTTTAGCCCACACTTGAGCCCCTGCGCTTCAAGAAATTATTTCCCCAGCGAAAAAGACATGTCTCCTTTTTGCCACCAGCCAAAAGATGAACAGAACGTAAAACAAATACCATACACTCACAGAATGCCAAGATTCTTCGGGACTGCGTGGGGGGTGTTGGATCCCTTGAGTGCGGGTACCCCAAAGTTTGCCTGACTCGTCGGTTTGCCTTGGGCCAAGTGATCAAAAGTGTGGTCACTACCCAGGACACTTTGCACGGCACGATCCTCTCGGTGAGGTTTAAATCTGAGGGATGATTAGCCCCCTGCAACAAAGACAGTTTTCTTTTTGCGGGGTGGAGGGGGGGGGGGAGGGGTGCTGGAGATTTTCCTGCGGCTTGCTTCTCCTGATACTCAGAGGGTCAAAATGCCCAATAAGTGGCCCTTAAAAGCCTCTTGCTATGGTTCTGAATATGGTGGACAACTCTCTCCAAAAAGTGTACCAAACGGAGACAATGCTGGATTTGTCGACGAAAAAAGGTACTCTTCCTCAAACACAGCACCAGGGTAGGATTCGCCATTTCCTCAAGTGGCTGCTCAAAAAACCGGAATTCCAAAATGGGTTGCCCTGGCAAGTGGAGACATGGACCAAGACCCGCGGTTTGCCCCTCCTGTTGCATTTTGCGCCATGCCCAACCCGTATGTTGGCTCGAACATGCGCGACCTTCGGGGGCTCCGCGGAAGCCGCCTTCGCCGCGGCCTCAAGGGGGGTGGGGTGGGGGGTGGGGGTCTGCTAAGGCGACTCCCAAACCACGGAAGGCCAACAAGTGGGACCTGGTATTTGACCGTGGCTCAAAAAAAAGAGGAACTTGTCCCACCTGAACCCTGGCTAATCTTTGAGCCACACATTTAGCAACTTCTTACAAAGCCCCGGTGTTCCCTATCAACCGCCGTGCCCTCCTTAGAGGGCATTGACATCCAAAGTGGACCGGATTTTTGGCTGGACACCGTCAAGGGTCGGATTCCCTCTCGAGGCTGGGGGGTGGGGGGATTCTCCCATTTGGGTATGGGTCATATTTAAACCGCCAGGAATTGGACCGAAGGTTTTAGGCCATGTTTCCACTTGCCAGAGTTCCTTTTTGGGATTACCATGTTTTTTGGACCCACAGCCCTTCACCCTTGAAAGCCAGTTCAAATCCCCAAACCATCCAGACTACCCACGAAGGGTTTTCTGATTTGGAGTTACCGACCGAGGGCACGCCAAACAAGCGCCACTCCCTTCAAGGGGTCTCTACCACCCGAACGGAGGTGCGAACAGACTTACACGACTCCCATGTTTGTGACTGGGTGGAGGTATCGTTCTCAGGTATCTACCGGTCCAAATCCGTGCGACCTTGAAGTTGAACAACGAGTTGTGTCACGTTCAAGTCCAACCGCGAGAAGTCATGTTCTCTCCCACCCTAGATATTCTATTATGTCAGCTGTTCCTAAGCAAATGTTCTACCGTTATGTCAGCTGGCTTGTTCACTCGTTGCTCTTTCTTGTCTTATTTTGCCGTGTCCACCTCCGGCTCCAGCGGCGGCTCCGCCCCAGACTCGGACTCAGCGGAATCCGCGGCTGCGACCGTCGCGGGCATTGGCCGCGTCGACTTCGTCGGCTTCGTCGACTTCGTCGGCTTCGTCGGCTTCGTCGGCTTCGGCGACGGCGGCGCAAGAGCGCGGCCATTGGGCGCGCCGGGCTTGGCCGAAGGCTTCGTGGGCTTGCCTCGCGGGACCTGGGCGTCTCAAGACCCCCCAGGAATCATGGCAAGCATGTGCTTCAACTTTTCAAACTGGTGTGAATGCTCCCCATCAGCCTTTTGCGCACAGAAGCATGATGGTTCGGTCTTGTCGGAGAGAAATTCCGGGGCTCAAACTCTTGGGGGTCGAGCCCCGTAAACCCCACACCATTCCAAACGCTTGCAACAGACGGGGGGGGGTTCTAATGTACCTCACCTTGACACACCCCAAGGGCTTCCATGTTTGTGTCTGCGATTCCGATTCGCTTTGGACGAGGTTGCGCGGTTTTCAGAAAGTGTTGCTCTCATGCCTGGTTCAATCAAACCCAAGCGGGTGTTCGACATTTCTGCCAGATATCTGCGTCATGTTGTCAAGCCCACCGAGGAAACAACAAACAAACACGTCTTTTGCCGCCTAAAAAACGAGTGTTGTTTCTGATTCGCCGCCTTGCTCGCCTCCAGCTTCTCCAGCGGCGGCTCCACCCCAGACTCGGACTCCTCGGACAGCTCCGTGACGTCGGACTCCGGGGGCGCCAACCCATCCTCCCCATCCTCGGGATCCTCCGGAGGCGCCTCGAGATCCGACACCTCCTCTGGCGCCGGCTCGTCGGCCTGGAACCGTGAGCCTTCCAGCTCCCCAGTCCCTCGTGCGGATTGCTCGGAAAAGTCACTCACCATGACCCAAAGCCAGCAAGTCTTAAGTTCAACTCAGGGGAATTAACACAAGGGTTGCAAAGGTGACTCTAGGACCTCGAAAGTTCTTTCTCTTCCGCCTCAGATGCCTCGGAGGGCGGCCGCTCGCCCTCGTCGTGCGCTTGCTCACGCGCGGGGCCCGCACCCGCGCGGGCGGGGAGCGGCGAGTGGTACAGGCGCCCTGGTTGGGGGGCCTAAGCCGAGCGGCTTCCAAGGCCCGACCCAGTTGCTCCCCATCTCAGTGGTTCGTCGACGCCTTGCTGAGAAAAAAAAAGAACTTCGAGTTGGATGTGTTGCCATGTGTTTCGCCGCCGTTGTTGGCCCAGTGGTTCAACAGCGGTGCGTTGGCTTGCGGGTTCTCAAAATTTGTGCGGTACTCTTTCAAGCTGGAGTGTGAAAAAATAATTAACCCCTGCTTGTTGAGCTGAAGCCCTTGCTCAGGGTAAAAAAGGTCACCCATGTCACTTCTAAGGTCGAATGAACAGGGCCGAACCTCCGAAAATTGACAATCCCAATATAGGGACGATTTCAGCGAACAAGGCGGCGTCGTTCCCCCGACCCCTTTGAGTGGTTGATCCGGATGGATCAGGCCGGAGACAAATAGTAGGATGGGTTGAAGAATCCGAGGTCAACGTTACAAAGTCACTATGCTGAACAAAAAACCGTTGCTCTTCAACTCTGTTCGGACTCGAGTCAATGGATTGTTGCGCGCGGGGGATCCCCGTTCGATTCGGGTTGGAAACCTCCGAAGCCGAGCTGCCATCAGCGAGGGCGACCACGCCGAAGTCTCCAAGTACGGACACGGCGAGGCCAGGGACGACGGGCTCATGCTCGGCGAGTCCAGGTGGAAGCAGTACCTGTGAGCGGATGTTGCAATAGGTACCTATCCACAAACATAGAACCTCACAGGGGGGGTCCTGCGATTAAAAGGGACCCTCTGGTCGGGTCCGGGTTAGCGGACCTGAGAGGACCCAGAAGAAAAAAAACGGAGGAAACTGGAGGGAACTAGAGGCAACTCATGTGAAACCCAGAGGTATACGCTCAAGAAGGGCCTGCATCCGGAAACAAAATGCCCTTGCTAACTGGGTAGTCATCCAAAGAGTTCCATGGCCATTGTTGCGTCATGGCTTCATCTAGAAAAATTGATGGAGACAATGTTCAACCCCCCCCCCAACAAAAAAAGAAGAGAACACATAGCCCCCTGGTTGTACGCGGGAGTCGAGGATTCGGGTTTTGTTCGGGGAGTCCAACCTGAGTTTCCCAGAGTTGACGAAGATCTCAGAGCGAAGGCAAACCTCCAATTGGTTTATTTCTCGGTCTCTCACTTGCTGAAAGCTACCCTTTTGGGGCTTGCTCAAAGGGAAACCAAAGGGAAACTAAGCATTTTTGGGTAGCCCTATTCTCACTTGCTGAGTGAATTGGCGGAAACAAATCGTAACTTTCTTGGCATGTGTTGTGGGTGGCTACAACCAAAAAAATGCTACCATACCGAGGTTTGCCGGGCCAAGGTGACCTGCACACACAAGAGGTGCAGAACTTTATACTTGTTTGGGAAGGCCAGTCAGTGGCAAACAGGCCAGAAACCGAAGTGAGCTGCTGTTTGTGTTTGGATTTGCCCGACTCAGGTGAGAACAGGGCAACCCCCAAACGAATCCTCCGATTTCGCCTCGCGCAGGTTTGAAATCCCAAACGCCGCCTTTTGGATGGCGAAGCAAAAGGACCCTCCTTGGCCGCTTTAGGGGCTGACCCACTGTTTTCGTCTGGGTTATGTCTGGACGGTCTTTTCGATCCCACCCTTTTCTTGGCAACCACGTCTGCGCACAGAAAACACATATGATGCAGATCTTCCATGTCTAGTCCAAAACCTGAACTCGTTTTGGAGGAGGCCCCTCGGTGACGTGGTTAGCACCGGCACCTCCATCAAGCATGCAGCCAACGAGCTTATCCAAAAATCTGACTACGGTCCGGTACTGGTAACCCCCCCCCCAATCCGAGCTGCGTGGGCGGCGTCCGCTTCGGGCTCGGCATGGGCGGCTTCAGCCGCAGCTTCGCTGACCGCTGGCTCGGGGCCATGGCGACACAAGCCCAAGTCAGTCCAAAGGATGGCCTTGGCTTTTTGTTCAGAAACTCCCCAGCTGATTTGACAACTCCCCCCCTTCAAGTAGGCAGTTGCAAGCTGAGAGTCCAACTCTTTGCATTAGGTCTTAGACTTTACGATTGGCAGTTGCAAGCCCTGAGAGTAGCTTTAAGCTTGAAAGGCAACCAGAAAAAAAGCACCTGGCTGTTTGACCTCGTGTTGCTGGGATGTATACGTCTTTTTCACGGAGACCTGTTGTGATGTCCGGCTTTCCATGTTTCGTCCAGCTGCCTCCAGCTTTCCTATGGCGCCAATTGAGAGAATCTGGACGTCCTCAGAAAGGCGAGCTCGGTGCAAAGATTAGCCCTGAGCTGAATCGAGGGAGCCACCTGAAAAGTGGTTGGCGAGGAGCCCCAATTGAAATGTACACCCATTGGAGTTTCAGAGAGGCATGCTTCATTTAGAGACAAAACCATTTTAAGGGGACCCCGAAAATGGTGAACTTATAGAAGAGCACGAGTACACTACAACAAGCAATTGGGCTGCAGTTGTCGCACTTTCCGCCGATCCGATCCGAGCCCAGCAAGCTGCGATCGGGTCATTCCCACGACTTGCACTGATACTTTGTCTCATAGCGATTGATAGGGAGGCAAAAAACCGACAAGTCTCCTAAAATTCCACCCTGAAAAGGAAAAGAGGAAATACAGAGAGAAGCTCGGAGCCGAAGTTGTTGTTTTTTTCCATTCCCAGGCCGAATGCCGCAACTTGTGGCGCCACCCTTCCCCGCAGCCAACTCACCGGGCAAGCTCAAAGCTTTCAACCAGCAGCTGGCACAGGCGACTACTTGAGGCCCATCTTTTGGCCCCCCCAGTTCAACTTGCCCTTTACTAATCACTCCGCCGCATCGTTCGTTTCAAGGGGATCGCTTTGACAAAAACTCGACTTCCCACAACCCATGATTTGGCAGGTCACCTGAATTGTGTCTAGCTGAGCAAAGGATGCTCTGAAGCTGGCTCTGAAGACCAGGAATCTAGGTCTTATGAAACTCGCCGAACTACACCAACAGCGTCGGGGGTTGCTCCTGGGAGTGCCTGCCTGCTTGTCTATCTACCAAAACCTGGCGCGTGGAACTGGACGTAGCTTTGACTGCGGACATGATCCATCGAGCTAGCATACATGAAAATGACTTATGCCTTTGCAAGCCTCAAGTTGGGCCAACAACCTGTAAACCAAAGTTCTGACCCTCATTTAGGTGTCACTGTTGAATGGGGGGGGAGGTGATCTCACTCGTTTTTGCCATACCCCGGTTGCTTTCGAACCATATAGGGCACATTCAAGTATGGAGCCATAATGCGCTTTCATTCTATGGGTGCGTCTATTTTTGAAGGTACCCTTTCTGGAAAACCAAAGGGAACCCACCCGCTTTGGGGGGCCCATATACCTTCCATCCCCAAAATACCTGGGGCCCACGCAAAAAATGAAGCCCATGTAAATCGCCTCTATCTACCAGCAGAGCGCATGATTTGTGTCGGTTCTCCTGTTGGTTTCCTTTAAAGCCACCCCCAAAAAGGGTATTGGGAAGCTATAAAGCAGCAATTACCTTGTCTTCTCCGGAACTAAGATCCCAGCTTGGAAGCTAAAGAAACCAATGTTCCCTTGGGCCTGGTTGCCATGTTGTGAGATGAAGCGGCCCCGGGTAAACGAATAAAATATAAATAGATAGATACAGTATATTCAAAACTCGAGAATAGTTTGCTTATTTCTACACTATGAAACATGTAATGCCACGGCCCGGGTGAGTTACTCACTCCAGCCACCCAGCCCAGCCGGCCACGCCTCATCATTGCCGTCCTTTGCGGGGGACGCGGGAGGCAAAGGGGTTGGCCCTGTATCTAATCTCGGCCCACATCTCGTCTGGTTGAAGCCAGGCAGCTAGGAGTGCGAGTATCCATTAGCCATGTCGTTTCAACCAGGATAATTATTTTCTGACTCTGGTCCACGTTAAATATTGTTGGAGGAGACACTAGTCATGTTTACGGGAAACACACACAGACACACAGACACAGACACAGGCACACACACACACACACACACACACACACACACACACACACACACACACACACACACACACACACACGCGCGCGAGCCACGCTCGAAATGACGAAAGTTTGCCCAAGAGGCCATGGGAAATGAGGGGCTCCTCCTCTTTTCTTGGGAAAAGTTGGGCGAGGCCCAACTCGCACCCTTCAAATGAACCATAAACGACTAGCATTTTTAGCCGAACCTCAAAAGTAGAGGCTGGCTGAACTTTCAGGCGAGCCCGCCCTTCGTTGTGAAGAGGAACCGGAGTCAAGAGAGGAAACACCGGCGCCATCCCACTTTCCGTGTACCACTAAAATTGTCTTCCTAAAAAGTAATACAAAGTCCGGGAACTTAGGAAGTGAGCCATTGATGTCGAAGCAAAAATCAGCCGCCCCCAGCCCTGAGAAGCAAAGGAGAGAATTACTGGCCACGCGGCGGCCAGCGACCGCTGCGCTAGGGCGAGCGTCCAGGGCGCTGTTGCGAGAAAGCGGTTGGAGGCGAAGCTCGCCTCAAGGGTTGGGAGCTGGGCGAAGGTCGCCCTCGAACCAAGGCTCCGTGGATCAGGATTCGGTGTGTTTTCTTTTGCGTCGAAGGCAGGTCATTCTTGGGGTTGGCTTGAAAGAAAACCAAGGACCTCTGTTGTTTGCTTTTCCCGAGATAGCTGAAAGCCATATAGGGGTTCTGACTTCTCATAAAAAGAGTGAGAAGTGATTTGCGAGATTGATGGGCTGGTGCTAGGGGGCGTGCAGTTTGGGGTGCTGGTGAAGGTGCTGTTTGGGGCGCTGCTTGAGGTGCTGGTGAGATTGACGACTGGGTGCTAGCAGGCATGGAAGTGAAAGTGCGGGCGCAATTTTGCAAGATTGACGGTGGTGCAGGTGAAGTTTTGGGATGCTGTTTGGGGTGCTGTTCGAGGTTCTGGTGACGGTGTGCGGCTTTTTCGCGAGATTGATGCTTTGGGGGTGCTGTTTGGGGGTGCCGGTGCATTTTTTGCGAGATTGACGGCAGGGTGCAAGGGGGCATGCAGTTTGGGGTGCTGGTGCAGGTGGTGTTTTGGGATGCTGTTTGGGGTGCTGTTTGAGGTGCTGGTGACGGTGCGGCGTTTTCGCGACATTATTGCCTTGGGGTGCTGTTTGGGGTGTGCCGGTGCGGGTGCATTTTTTCGAGATTGACAGCAGGGTGCAAGGGGGCATGCAGTTTGGGATGCTGTCTAATGTGCTGTTGGAGGTGCTAGTGACGGCGCGGCCAAGTGCTGTTTCGGGGGGTGCTGTTGAAGGTGCTGGAGCACAATCGTCGGCATGTTTTTGGCTATCTGGTGTATATTTGTTGTTTTTCCTTTTGGGGGGGCTGTATTCTGGCACAAATCCATAATTTTGCCCATTGTTATTGTTTTTGTGTTGTTGCTGTTTTTGCTTTAACGGAGAATGCTCGTGACTGATAACTGCCCCGGGTTTTCAGTGGAAATGCAATTGAGAGCTTTGCAGGTCCTGGAGTCTGAAACAATCATTTGCAATTTCTGAGTTCCCGCGAAACAAGCCTTCAGTGGGCTCAAGGGACACCTCCAGCTAAACCAACTCAGATGCCCAGTGGCCATGGGAGAAGAAAAGGGCATCCTTTTTTGTTTGGTTGAGTTTAAAGGAGCCCTTCCCAAAAAAAAGTTTTTAAAAAAAGGCGGAATCCACTGGGCAGCTGGGCCAACCAAAAGACCTAAAAGCCTAAGGAACCGCAGACGATCGCCTCCAGCCCCTGCTGCTGCAGCAGGCTCAAGGCCCTAACCCAGGCAACCAGGCCCACTGCCGCAGTCAAAGGCCCACCCTCTCCACCGCCGGTCGCCTGTCCAACTCACCCCCGCGGGTTTGCTCCAAATCGGGTCCTGAGGCTGGTCATATTCTGAGGAGAAAGGGGAAGGGAACTTGAGAGAGGAAACCGGTGCAAGCATTGCCCCGCCTTTGCTAAAGAAGGCCTGGGAGTGGCCCAGGACCTCGTGCGGTATCTTCTGCGAAAAGGAAGGCCTTTGTGCGTGCGTCTGTGTGCGTGTTTGTGTATATATATATATATATATATATATATATGTATTTATATATATACATAAGAATTTGTACATGTTTGCATGTGTGTGTGTGCGATGTTGACACTGGCAACGGGCAAAAGCCTTTGGCGGATTCTGCACTTGCCACTGGTGGTTGGTGGGGAAACTTGGTGCTTCACAAGCTGTTGCCTCAAAAGGCGCTCATCGTGTTGTGAGTTCGAAACAGGGCTCCCTATGAGTCTGACCTTCAAGTATTAGTAACCCTTGATTAGTGGTTTGGATTGGTTTGGGGATTTGTAGCGGGTTCATGGGAAACCCCTCCTTTTCATCACCAAACCATCCAAACCACCCATCCTAGACTTCTTATTTTTTTAAGAGAGAGCCACACGGGGAAACTCCCTTCACCTTGGCCCATATGATATGAAAGATCACCTTCTAATGTGTGCGAAGCAAAGGTAGCCCCTGTCACAATGGAGCTCTTGTCAACCACCTTGCTTGTTGTTTTCGGCTGAAGGGTATGGAGGTATGCAAGCAACCTTACTCCCTGAAGACAAACGTGGAACACGTTGCCATTTCATGTACAATTACTGTACAACATGTTCATGTATACCAAGTCGGTTCATGTATACGAAGTCGGCAAACTTTGAAGTGAGGTGAGACACACTTTGGGTGTTGCTCAAATGGTGAACCAATGTTGTGGTTGGTGTTTAACAGCAACCAAATCCAACCATGTTCGGGTCGCACTCTTTCAAAAACCTCCGTCTGTTGGGGTTGGTGGTGCACCAATGAATCCATGCCACTCTGGCGCATATTTTGGTATCTCATAATGTCAAACGCGGTGGCCAAAACTTAAAATCAGGGCCTTCTTGGGGGTTGTTGCTTTCAAATCCCGTTTGAAAACGTGCAAAAAAAACTGATTTCCACAAATCCGGCTTTAGCCAAAGCTTGTTTAAGCCACCAGCCCTGGCACCCTTTAAAGGGGAAGGTGGAAGGTCCAGCAGACCCTGGCACCAAAATTTCGCGGAAGCTCAAGTCGGCACCTGCCTGCAAGCTGTGCACGTAGATCTCATCCAGCAAGCACATCGCCAGCGCCCAGTCGCTGCAGGCATTGATGCAGGTGCTGCAGGCGATGCTGTCCTGAATTCGGTTCCGGGAGGTGCAGGTACCGGGCCGGGCTTTGTTTTTCAAAGCTCAAAGGCGGCATAGGAAATAAGTCTTTCAAAGAGCGGAAAATCGCCCGGGGAAGCAGGCCCGATCCGCCGAAAAGCCAAAGCAAGCCGAACCCCATGCGACCAAAGGCACAACAACTGCTTTGCAACATCCATAGGACCTACCCACAAGCCGTCAAACGCTTGAACGAGACGGAAACTGGGCGAGAGACTGCTAGCCCCGACTCTGAATTCCCACATAAGGGTTCCCCCGAGGCTTCCAACCGCAAACATCAGAACCAAAAGAAAGCTCACTTTGATTGGTCCCAAACCTACAGATTAGCATGGAAGCCCCCAAAACACCCCGTTTTTACGTGGCAGCCGTTTTCCATGTTACTTCATTTCCACGGGAGTAAGCAAACATCACCCCAACCACGAGGAAACTAACTTTGTACGGGCTCAAAAGGTGATGTTTAAAACCATCACACGCGGAAGGGACCCTGTGCCACGCAATTGACTCACTTTGGTCAGCGAACCAAATGACTTGTTTCCCAAACAGGACGCGGCAAAAATTGATGCCGGTGCAAACCTGTGGTTGTCCCCCTGTCTCGTCC